GCGACCCCCCCGCAAGTTCCGCTTGAGGGGGGGTATCACGGACGACAACGGCCTCTCGCGAGAGGCGCACCCGTGCCTGTTCTGAGCCCTGAGCCACGAGCAGGCACGATGCAGTCTAATTTTCTCCTTTCCTCCCCCCCCCACCTTGTGCTGCAGCTCCGTTCGGGAACCTTGGTAAGAACGCGGGGGGCGTCTGGTCGACGGCGCCCCATTTTTTTTTTCGGCTCGCCTTGCGTGGATCTCCCAGGCTGACGCCACCACCGACGGTTCTCGTTCAGGTGGTCGCCCCTCTCTCTTGAAAGCTGTTGGTCACACATTAGCCAGGGCCAAGTCGGTCCTAGAACGTGGTGACCCACACCCGACTCCCAAGTTTTTGGGGCGCCGCGGGCCGCTCATGCCCGGGGTTTCCCCCAGGCACCACGATCAGTTGCTGCGGCCTCTAGAGGCCGAGGCGTTCCCTCTGGACCAGCTCGCACCGACGTTCGAAACTTGCAATGTCCCGGGCTGGGGATCTGGACAGTTGTGGTTGCAGAATACCGGAGCCGACGTCGTGGTCATGCAGGAGCATAAGCAGACGCCGCACCAAGTGGCATCGGCTTCTTCGTGGGCGAGACGCCACGGGTGGAAGAGCCTGTGGGTGGCGGCTGTGTCTGGCGACGGAGGAGGCCCCTCCGCTGGCGTGGCGCTGTTCGCGAGAGAGTCCCTGGGCCTGGCTGCGCCGCCATATGGTCATCAGATTTCGGCGGGGAGAGCCCTCGTGGGCATCGTGGACACCCCAGGTCAGGCGCAGCTCGCCATCTTGTCGGCCTATTTCCACGACTGCCAGGACCTGCCGGATGAAAATATTGACCTGCTGTGTTCGTGCCTTTCCACGTGGAGCCGAGGGCGCTCCTCTCGGGAGGCCTGGGGGACAAGGCGGAGGAAATCCAGCTTTTGATCCCTGATGGGCACGCGTGTAAGTCGACGGCAGGACCCAAACAATACGATTTTTTATCGCCTCGGCCGACGTGGCCATGGCCGTTTGTCAAGTTAAGGTCATCCGTGAGAGTAGCTTCGCGCCCCACTCTCCCGTTCAAGTCGTTTTACATCCCAGGCTGGGCCGTCTCCAGGCCCATGCCTTTCGGCGCCCGCCGCCGCTCCCCACTGCCCCCCTGGCCCCCGTGCAGGTCCTCGAGGTGTTGCCCCCTTCCCGCAGGGTCCATGTTGTCTTGGAGTCGGCTAGGGCTGCCGCTGGGCAGGGCGATTGGAAAAGGGCCCAAGGTGCCCTTGATCGTGCGTGCCGTCCCTGGGCCAATGCTGCTGAGCGCGAGGTGTCCGCTGCCGCGGGCAAGGTCTTGCCTGCGTGGGGCGCGAGGGGAAAGCCCCCCCAGATGTGTTGTCGAAGGCTACTGGGCGAGCGGCAGCCAGGCGGGCATCAACTCCGTGCTCGCTGTGCTGGAGTCGCAGCCTCAGTATGTGCAGCACTTAGGCTCGGCTAGTGGCTTCTTAGGTGCCCTGCGCGATTTTATTTGCGAGCTGCCGATGTACGAGGCCAAGGAAGGGCCCTCGTTCGACTTTTTCGCGCACTTGGTGGGCGCCTTCCGGACAGCGCTCGCCGAGGTTGAGGCGTCGTCCAGGAAACGAGCCAACAAGGAGTGGAGAGAGTGGCTCCTGTTCAAAGCTGATCGGGGGGCCCGTCGCGTCCGCGCGGCCTCTCAGAGGGCCACCCTCTGGACCCCCACCACCGCCCTGTCCCTGGACGGGGTGGTGGTGGCCGACCCTCTCTCCTTCCTCAACGCGGAGTCCTCCAAGTTTGCTAAGCTTTGGGGTGGCGGGGTCGAGGGTAGTTGGTTCGAAGTTGGCGAGCTGGTCCCACCTCTGGAGCCTGTGCCGGTGGAAGCCATTCGAGTGTTCTCGCGGAAGTTTAAGGAAAACACCTCGGTTAGTGTGGATGGCTTCCACGTGAAGCATTTCGCTCTCATGAGCGATGCGCTGCTGCTCATGGTGGCTGATTTGTTCGCCTTCATGGAGTGCACCGCTCTGATCCCTGTCCAGATCTCCGCCACCCTCCTCGCTCTCATCCCTAAGGTGAGTTCGGGATTTCGGCCGATCGGGACCTTCTGTGCCTTGTGCCGCGCGCGCGGCAAGGTGCGCCGTCCGCTGGCCCATGAGTGGGAGCTCACCCACGCTGGGGGGTATTTCGCGGCTGGACCTTTCGAGGGGGCTCAGGACGTCGTCTGGAGACAGGCGGCGCGGGCTGAGACTGCCACTTTGACCAAGGAAGAAGCGGCCACGGTGTTGCTCGATTTATACAAGTATTACGAGACCGTCAACCTCAGGATGCTTTTGTTTCGTGTTAGGCAGATGCGCTTCCCCCTGGCCATCTCTCGGCTCGCGATCGCCATGTACCTCCAGGCTCGGTTTTTTGTTATGCTCAACGCGTTTGTTGATGGGCCCTATTGGGCCAGGGGGGGCATCATCGCGGGATGCGCGTTCGCCGCCAGTTTTATCCGCGTTTATGCTGTCCAGGAGTTGGACAAGTTGGAGATCCCGCCCCAGGTCCACCTTCAATTGTACATCGGCGATTCAGGTGTCAGCGCGACTGGCACTGAGGCTCACATCGTCGCCAGCCTTCCGCCCGTCGCTCGTCAGTTGCACTCGGTCTTGGAGGACGGGGTGGGGGCCAAAGTTAATCAAGATGAGGGGGAACGTTCGCTGATTTGCTCTTCTGAGGCGCTGGGGCGAGAGTTGGCTGCCAAGCGTGGAGGGCTGGTGGGGCCACTGGTTTCGTCTGCGCTCAATCTCGGAGTGGATGGCTGTGCTGGCAGGCGCCGTAGAGTCAAGGGGAGGAGTTGTAAGCGCAAAAACCGGGAGAGGAAGACGGTCGGTTTTGTTTCTCGGCTGGCCCGTTGGAGGCCCACTGTCGGGGTCGCGTGGCCCGAAATGTTTTCGCGTCGGGGGCGCTCGCCGCCGAGTTGTGTGGGTCCGAGGTCCATGGGGTCAGCGATATGGAGCTGCTGACCGACAGGCGTCAGGCGGGAAGGGTTCTGCAGCCGTCGGCTAAGGGCCGATCATTGACGGCCTTGCTGCTTGCGCACGGGGGGCCGTGCTGGCATGCGCGTGCTGCCCCCATCATCCAATGGTCTAAGGGGGTGCGGTGGGCGCATCATCGATTGCATAGCCACGCGTTGCCTCTGACCGAGCTTAGAGCTGCGTGGCAAGCTGGATTCGAGGGCGAATCCCCGCTGTGGCGAAGCGCGTCTGGCCCCATCTCCGCCGTGCGGAAATCCTTGGAGCGTCTCTCCTGGGGCATGCTTGCCGCTGGGGTCTTGGTTGCAGACCTGGGTGAGGAGCTTAAGCTCACCGAGTTTTCGCCCCAGCTGGTTCGGCCCCTCCTGCGCAGGGCTGTTCTGAGGGGGCTCGAGTGGGACCTGGGGGCCAGGCTTGATCTGAAGGGCAGGGCTTGTGTGGAGCCCGTCTTTAGTTACCTCAAAAGCTCTAAGTACACCAGGTATCAGAAAGGCTGTCTCCGCTCGCTGTTTTGCCAGGCGATTTACACCCGTCAGCGCGCCGCAAGCTTAGGTTACGCGCTGCCCACGACGGTGTGCCCGCTGCGCGGAGAAGGCTTAGATACCCTTCGACACCGCCTATGGGAGTGCCGTTGCCCCGAGGTGGTCGAGCTTAGGGATGCTGTAGTTAAGCAGGAGGTGCAAGAATGGGCAGCTAAGGCCGACGACAATTTGGCCTGCTACGGGGTCTCCCTCCACCCTTCCGACTTCCCGCAGCCGCGCGCGTCTGGGGGCATCGAGGTGATTTGGACGGAGGAGGGGGGTGACATCCAGGAGTGGTTCGAGGGCGACCTGTTCGTCGATGGCTCGCGTACTCGACATCTCGTGGGGGACCTCATCAGAGCGGGGTGGGCTATCGTGGTCGCCCCGAAGGAAACTGGCAATGCTGCGGTGCGAGTTAAAGGTCCAGTTTGGGCGCCCTGTCCCCAGACGCCGCATGCGGCTGAATATCACGCCATGTCTGTTGCGGTTCACTGGGCGACAGGCCCTTCTACAATTTTTCCCGGCTGCCAAGGCTGCGCTGACTTCTCTCGGGTGCCTTGGGCCGAGATGGCTTCTGCCAGGCGTGCGTACAGTGGTGTGGCCCAGCATTTAAGAAAGCACTGGTCGAATGTGCAGTTACAGAAAGTCAAGGCCCACCAGGACGTCCAGGCTGCCACCGACGACAGTGATCGGTACGTGCGACAAGGTAACGAATGGGCTGATTTGGCGGCCATGGAAGCGGTTCTCTTGCATCCTATGCCGTCGGGGTCCGTGCTCGAGGGTCTTGATCGCGATATTGCTGTTGCCAGAGCTGTGGGCCGCCTAGGAGCGAAGCTCCTTGCGGTGTGGCCGAGACTGTCTTTGGGCCCCCACGCCCAGTTTGTCCCTCCTCCCCCTGCTGAGCGTCGACAGGGAGAGGACAAGAAGGTCCACCAGTGGAGCTGGGTGGGCAACTATTGGCAGTGCGCTGAGTGTTTGCGGGGCAAGCGTGGCCGCCCCTCTGTCGTGCCCGCGTTGGGGAGGTGCGACGCTGTTCTGAAGGTGTCCCCGACCAGGCTGCGTGAGTTTGGTCATTTTTGCTCTCTGCTCGACTGCTCGGACGGTTCCTTTTTGTGTATTTGCCACAAGTGCGGTTATATGACGTCCGGAGGTCAGCTTCGGAATCTCGACAGGAAGTGTGAGCCACACAAGGTGGCCGCGCACAGCAATCCGTGGGTCAAGTTGAAGAAGGGGCTTCATCCTAAAAAGAATGGGGTCGCCGTCGACTTGACGACGTTTTGCCATTTGTGAGGTGCGAGCCCTTGTCTGCACAGTGCAGGGCGCACCCCCTGGCCCGTCCTCTCAGGGGAGGCGGGCCAAGAGATACCCCCCAGGGCCTCGCCCACCCTGGTGCGGTGCACGTGGGCTGCATAGCGGCGCATGCAAAACAAATCCCCCTCCTCCTCCTCATCTTGATCTTCCTCCTTTGCCAGAGGTCAAGCGTTGGGCCCACGCCGTGCCGATAAAGATCGGATCTGACGTGGCCGCCCACTGTACGGCCTCGGGCTGCGCACAGACGCCCCCCACAGGTGGCCCCGGCTGGCCTGCACAGGCCCCCCGAGTAGTCTGTGGCGGGGTTGACACCCCAGCCTGGGGGCGCGGCGCGCCCCAGGTGCGCGAGGCGGCGCCAGGGGTGCAGAGATCGCCCAGGGCCGCTCGGGGGGGGGCCCGCTGAGGCCAGGCAGGGCTACCTGGGGGCGATGCCTGTGCGCACCCCGCAACCTTACCGGCCGCCCAAGTCGGCCTTACCCGAGGGAGGGCCACGATGGCCGCCAGCGCTGCCGACGTGTTCGTGTACTCGCTGGCAACCTTCCTCGGGAATGTCGGCGTCGCCGTCACCGGCTTCGGCATGGCCATTGTGTACCTGTTCGTGTGGCAGGTGGCGAGGCTGTGCGGCTGGGAGGCCCAGCGGCGCGGCAGTGAGGGGCTGCGTGAGTTTTTTGTTGTAAAACATGTTCATTTATATTCATATTCGACGGAGAAAACCTCCGAGACGGGAATTTGTCTAATACCAGGATCGACATTCGGGGACCTCGGCAGGCGGTGGATGTGGATGTGGATGTGGATGTGGATATATATATATATATATATATGTGCGTATCTATAAAAAGGGTGAGAGTGAGGGGGCCGAACGGTCATTCATTGTCCCTGTGTGCGTGGCTGAATAAGGAACTCGTGGTGAGAATTCCGCTTGTTCCGTTGTTGTTGTTGTCGTTGTTGTTGTTGTTGAACTCTAATTACTGAAGAATAATTATTGTTGATCCCCCCCTCCAGCGGACATTGTATTTTTTTAATTGAAGTGCCCTTTCCGGGGCTCGCACCCTGTTTTTTATCAGGGAAAGTAGTGGGCATCAAACTGCGTTGTTGGCCCCCCGGACAACAACAACAACAACAACGGCTCCCGCCTGATACTTCCTCCAAATTTACTCAGGACCCCCGCCCCCGCCTGGGACTTCCTCGCAGTTTACTCAGGCGGAGGCGCTCCCGCCTGAGACTTCCTCGCAAATTACTCCGGACCCCCGCCCCCGCTTGGGACTTCCTCGCAGTTTACTCAGGCGGAGGCGCTCCCGCCTGAGACTTCCTCGCAAATTACTCCGGGAGCGGCGCTCCCGCGTGGGACCTCCTTCACAACTGAGCATCAAACTGTGTTGTTGGCCCCCCGGACTACAACAACAACGGTTCCCGCCTGATACTTCCTCCACATTTACTCAGGACCCCCGCCCCCGCCTGGGACTTCCTCGCAGTTTACTCAGGCGGAGGCGCTCCCGCCTGAGACTTCCTCGCGCATTACTCCAGGAGCGGCGCTCCCGCCTGGGACCTCCCTGACAACTGAGCCCTGCTGAACTCTCAATACTGAAGAATAATTCTTCTTGATTCCTCCTCCCTCCCTCCCCCCACTCTTTTCCTCCTCGCTCTCCCTTCCTCCTTCCCCCTGCTCTTCCTGTTTTAGGGGCTGCGCCAACTACACGTGGCGAGTAAAAAAGATATACCCCCAAAGGGGTATGACCGAAGACGAAGAGGGTGGGTATCGAGGGTTTGGGATTTACATATTGAGTGACGCGCGCGCATATGAGAGCAATCAGTCTTAAGATGATTGTTGTTGTTGTTGTTGTTGGTGTTGTTGTTGTTGCTGCTGCTGCTGCTGTTGCTGTTGCTGTTGCTGCTGTTGCTGCTGTTGTTGTTGTTGTTGGTGGTGGTGGTGATGTTGTTGTTCTTGGTGTTTGTTGTCGTCGTCCCACCCGCGATCCATCCCGCGACTCGCCCGCGACCGACCCTGCGACCCACCCGCGACCCACCCCGCGACCCACCCGCGACCCACCCCGAGACCCGCCCGCGACCCACCCCGCGACCCATCCGCGACCCATCCTCGACCCACCCGCGACCCACCCCGCGACCCACCCGCGACCCACCCCGCGGCCCACCCTCAAGGGAGGAAACACCACCCGGACTCGACAACTGACGTTGTCTAAACGGACGTGGGCGTTGACTGAACAGGCCTGCCCTGTTCGATTCATTCCTTGTAGGCGTTTACTAAACGGCTTCGCATGTCGGGGTGATTATTACGGGGTGGATTTTTTTATCTTTACACCCGCAACCCAACAGCGACCCATTTGCGACCCACCCGCGACCTACCCACATTGGTTTAACGAAAAAATCGTCGCCTGCAGCGGGCTCGTTTTATAATTTGTGAAACTTGGGCGCCTGCGGCGGGCTTCGCCAGAGTCTCGCAAACTGCCGACGTCCCCACCGCCCCCTCGCTCGTATCCGCATCTGCGGGGTGCCACATATTCATATGTATAGATCGCGAAGGCCTTACGGCCAGTGCTGCCAACCCTGATTGGGAACGACGAGAACGGCGGCGACGACGACGAAGACGATGACGTGCGTCCGAGCCATCATGGATGCTTCTTGGGGTCTCTTCGAAGCGCTCTCGGGGGCCTGTGGTGGACAGTTTAGGGGCCTCTTGGGAGCCTCTTGGGGGCCACTTAGGAGCCTCTTGGGCGCCTCTCGGGGCTTCCTGGGGGCCTCTTGGGGGCCTCTTGGGGCATCTTGGGGGCCCCTTTGGGAACTCCTGGGTCCTCCTGGAAGCCTCTTGGGGCCGGGGGCTCGAAGTGTCCGTTCTGGTCCCTCGTCCGGGCACCCTCTGGAAGCCGTCTTTGGGGCCTCTTGGACCGTCTTGCAGGCGTCTTGGGCCATCTGAGGGCCCTCTTGGGCCGTTTTGGAGTCCCTGGTGGAGCCCTCTCAGGCCGTCTCGGAGCGATCTGGGGGGCCTCTTGGGCCGTGCGTGGGGAAGCGGAAGAGGCGAGAACGCCGACATTCTTCAAAATTAAACGGGAAATCAGTAGTTGTTCCTCTTGTGGCCACCTTGGGAGTGCTCCTGGGGGCCTCTTGGGGCGCCTTGCAGGGCTCGTGGGCCGTCTAGAGGCCGTCAAGGCGTCTTGGACAGGTCGTTTGGCGATTCTGGGCCCTCTTGGACCGTCTTTGGGACCTCTTGGGGCACTCTTGACTTGTCTGGGGGCTTTTTTGGACCCCAGGACCACCAGGAGCGGAGTCGCACCTGACCCGCCCCCCCCCCTGGAGACCCAGGATCCCCCCCACTCCCGCCCGCGGGGGGGGGGGTCACAGGGAAGGGGCTCCCCTCCGAGTCAACTGCGACGTTGCTCAAAATTTCCTTCTGGAGGCCCAGGGATTTTGGAGAATTCCGCGTCGCCGATGGCGACCCACGATCGCACACTCGTCCTTCATAACAAACTGCTCGGCATTCGGCGCAGATGCTGCGCCGACTGCCGACCTAGCACGCGAGGTGGCCGAAGCAAGCGTGCGGTGAAGAGGCCAGGCATCCCAGCGCGAATCCATGAAGGGAAGAGGGGGGAGCGGCCACGGGCCGAGCGCTCGAGGAAGAGGCTGCGGGGACGGGGGGTGGGGGGGCGGCGATGGGCCCAGGGAGAAAGGGGGGCGCAGGGAGAGGGGACAGCAGAGACGACGACTCACGAGTGACGGAGACGACGACTCGAACGGACACACGCCGGCATTGTCGGTCATTTATATATATATGTGTGTATATATATGTGTGTGTATGCATGCACGCACCCATCGATATACATACATCCCTGTGTATAGAGGTGTGTATATATGATGATGAATATATTCGGCCCCCTATGGTCAACATGTGTTCATATACACCGCCCCTTGAGGTCCCAGGACATCGCTTCCCCGGGCGTTGGACGTGGATCCCCTCCCCGGCCTCGCGAACACGGCATGACCATTAATTTTCGGAGATCTGCGTGGGTTTCATGGATTCGCGCAGGGCCTTCATGTCGGTCCCTCTGGCGCCATTAGCGTGCTCTGCGCGCAAGGGAGGAGGCTCCAGTGCATATCTGCACAGTCCACGCGGACGTCTGATTTTTTACGTTTATGCATGTTCTTCATTTTCTGAAGATGGCATGGGGTATCAGGGGCAATTTCAGGCTGGGAGACTTTTGCCCAGGGGAGTCGTCCACTCGCCCACTGACCGCCTCTATCAGCTATGTATCGCCGATTCCAGGATGAACCCCCCCCTGAGCTGGCCCCCCCTTGTATTGAGTCGGGCGTGTCCCTCTACTGGAAGAATATTCAAACATAGTTGAAACAAAACCTTGGGACGGAGTTGTTTCAGTATTATTGCGCATTGTTGGTGTACTTCTAATTTTTTTCAATTTTTCGCCTTGTATTCCCCCTCAGGAGGTGGTTCTTGCAGAGTGCACAGATGCTTCGTGTCGGATTGGCGCTGCGTCGGCCCGAGCGCGGGCGTTTAACGTTGAATGGTGCCAGTGGCCTGGAACCCTCCACCATCGAACGGCCTGCTCGATCTGAAAGCCGCGATCGCCCACCTTACAGAGGTCCACGCGGTGTCGGAGGGCCAACGCGCAAGTCATCGCGTCACGAATCTGCTTCAAGAGGGCTACTCACGGGCGGGGCGTCTCTCTAGAATGCCGCCCCCATTCGCAGCACCCCCCCTGTGCGCATCACGGGTGAGGCGGACTTCAAGCACGCGGTGTTCATCCAGGCAATCGGCCTGTTCGCGGCCCAGCCGCTGCTGCTGCGCCAGGCCAACATTCGCAAGCACGGCTCCCGCAGCCTCCTGAAGCTGTTCCTTCCGGTGACGGTCCTGTCCACGCCTCTGGGCCAGTGGCTGGGAATCTACGTCGACGAGAAGGCCGTTCAGACGGTGGGGGGGGTCATCATCTGCCTCTTCGCCGCCTTCGAGGTGTTCCGCAACCGCAGGCTCATCCTCGAGGCCCTCCGCGGCGCCCCGCCTGCAGGCCCGCGCAGCGAGGACGCGGAGCGAGAGGGCCCGGACAGGGCTGCCGTCGAGGATGACGAGGACGAGCCGACGTGGTCCACAGAGAAGGTGTTCTTCATGATCGGGTCGCAGAGGCCCAGGGGGGGGGAGAGAACAGACACGGGCACACACAAGCTCGGACGTCCATGCGCCCGCCGAGAGACGTGGGGAACGGGGGGAGACCAGAAAGTCCAGGAAGCGTGTGCAAACGTTAGGAATCCTGACAGCTGTTCGTCACGCACCAGCTCGCCCCGACCCAGCCCGAAGGCCCCGGGCTGCCCTCCCTTCCCAGTGGTGGGGGGGGGGTCGGGGAACGTGGCCTAAACACGCGTGAAGCCCGTACTGGGCCGTTTTTAATACATGTTCCGCGTGCGGATCATATACTAAAAATGCAGGGATTCAGTATTAAAACCAACGATGAGTTCATGCCTACATTCCTTCATGAATGAACCATGTGTTCAACATCCTATATTTTAAACATCCGATGTATGAACAACTGCCCTGTACCCCTCCCCGCCCAGCCCCCGAAATCTGGGCCTTCCTGGTTGGGCTTGGGGGTGCTCTGGCAGGCGGGTCGCCTGTGCCGCCGCATCCGCACCGCCCCGGGCCCCTTCCGAGAGGCGCCGCGGCGCGCGCAGGGGCGCGCAGCGCGAGGGGGGTGGCGGGGCGGCCGCTCTGAGGCGGCGGGGGGCCTCTCTGGGAAGGCGCGCGCCCGCCTCCTTCGCTCCCTCCTCCGTCGCTCCTCCTCCTCGCTCCTGCTCCTCCTCCTTCGCTCCTCCCTCCTCCTCCTCGCTCCTCGCTCCTCCCTCCTCCTCGCTCCTCGCTCCTCCCTCCTCTTCCTCCTCCTCCTCCTCCTCCTCCCCCTCCCCCTCCTCCTTTTCCTCCCCCTCGCTCCTCCTCGCTCCCCCTCCTCGCTCCCCCTCCTCGCTCCCCCTCCCCTCCTCCTCCCGAGGACGGGGCCCTGAGGGTATGAAGGGATCCAAGGGTGGCCTCTACGCTGAGGCACCTCGTCCTCGGGACCCCATCCCCCGGGACCCCATCTCTCGGCCACCACCCCCCGGCTTCCGAGGAGCCTTCTCGGAGGCCTCTCGCGCTTCTGGGGGGGGGGCCTGCCCTCGGCCACGCCCTCCGCGCGCGCGCCGCCGAAGAGGTCCGGGTCGAACTGGCTGCGGACGATGATGGACGAGCGCGAGGACATCGCAGGCCCGCACCCGCCACACATTTTTGACAATTTTTTGCCTATCCTCGGCAAGTTCGGCGACCTGGGCCTGGCGACCAACAGGGAGATCCTCATCGACCACGTGCTGACCTTCGTCGAGCGGAACCAGGTGCCGTGGACCGACAGGAAGGGTCGGCCTCTCACCTTCGACCGGGGTCAGGTGTTCCGCGCGGTGGAGCGGGAGGTGGATACGGATGCCGTGTCCGGGATAGAGGTCCTCATGGTCATATTCAACGAGGTCTACGACACCCATGCGAGAGCCAATTTTAAGAGAACATGGATGTGTAAGTCCATGGGGATGTCGAAGTACCACGATACGTTGCTGAATTTCTACGGAAAGGACCGCCTTCGTTACATCTACTTGGTTCGCGACCCGCGCGACGTCGCCATGTCGTTCATGAACACTCCCGTCGGCGATTGCCACTACCACGCGATTGCCACCAAGTGGGTGCGGCTCCAAGAGAGTGCTCTGAAGATTGCCGACGCCTACCCCGACATGGTGCACCTGCTCCGCTACGAGGAGACGGCGGCACCCGTGCCTCTTCCCTCCACTCGACTACATAATTGATTTACCCCAAGATTGATCTCTTCGTCGTCGAATCTACAAGAAATACGTAGCTTTCATCCATGGGCTCGATGGGGTAAATACATTAGCTAGTCGATCCACTACTCGATCCACAACTTCTTCCTTCCTCTCCGGATGCGCCTGCCCGAGCACAGTTCTCGTAAAAAAAATACATACAGTAGAGGACGCGCCATTTGTGCTAAGGTTGGTTTGCTTTCGTTGCCTTTCGAACCTGCATGCATGCAGAAGGATGCAGTGGACACCCATGCCAAGAAACACCCTGCTTGCCTCCAGTGTGCCCTGGGTTTCCTGAGTTGCGATGGTTTTGCTATGGAGAGCGCGACGTTGCCACACCCAAAATCAATGGCCGCCCTGGGGTCTCTCGTTGGGTTTCCTGTGGGAGGTTTCTTGTGGTCGATCTCCTACTGTAGCGCGCTCCGATTCTGCATGCGTGCGGGTTCGGAGTGCCTTCTTTTCGCCCTTGTCATATTCATCTTCGCCATCGTCGTCGTCGTCATTAGCGTAATCACCATCATCGCCGTAATTATTGTTATCCTCATCCTCGCCGTCATCATTGGATTGGCCTCATCATCGTCATCATCGTCATCATCATCGCCACCATCTATGCTCGCGTCTTGGCTATTGTGCCGCCTCATCGTCATCACGATCGTCCCCAGCGTCAATCTCTTTTTCCCCCTTATCGCCATTACGTATCCAGTTGTCTGCGGCAAATCCCGCCATCGTACAAGCCCAACATCATCGGTGGCAGCTGTTCGAATTGATGAGGACGTTTCAAACGATGATGATGTTGCTGGTGATAACGACGGCGATGGCGATTACGATGATGATTGTGGTTGTGGTACTGGCGGCGACCATGCTCATGATGACGACGATGACGATGATGCTGGTGATGATAGAGACGGCGAACGTGATGGTGATGATGACGATGATGGGGGGATGCTGTTGGGGATGGGGGGAGCATACGGAAAATGGTGGTGAGGAAGATTGTGGCGCATGAGGGGCATGTGATTATCATTATTATGATGAGTCACGGTGATGATGCTCGTGACGGCGATGTTGATGGGATGATGATGTTGATGATGATGATGACGATGATGATGATGATGAAGATGGTGATAGTGATGATGGTGATGGTGATGGTGCTGGTAATGACACCGCTGATGCTGATGAAGAAGAAGTTGAAAGGTTGCGGATATGTTAAGAATAATGAGCATGAACATGTTGGCGATGCTGGTGTTGGTGATAATGATGGTGATTGTGATGGTGATGCTGATGATGACGATTATGATGATGAATATGATGCTGATTAGGACGATGGTGACAACTATGTTGGTGGTAGTGGCGATGATGATAATACTGGTGATGATGATCATAGTGGTGATGTTGATGTTGATGGTGGTGATGTTGATGGTAAGTATGACCATTTGAACGATGATCAAGGACCGTGGTGATGATGATGTTGATGATGAGGATCATGATGATGATGGTAATGATGACGACGATGATGCTGATGCTGATACTGAACCATGATGCTGATGACTATGATGATGATGATGATCCTGATGGTGATGATGATGCTGATGATGATGATAATGATGATGGTGGTAGTGTTGGTGTCGGCGTCGGTGTTGGTGCTGATGGTGGTAAAGATTTTGATGCTGATGCTGATGCTGATGATGATGATGATGATGATAATGATGACGATGATGATGATGTTGATGACGGTGGTGATGATGAGGAGGAAGAGGAGGAAGAGGAGGAGGAGGCCAAAAGGCCCCAGGCAGCAGAATATTGCCTGACGACGGCCCGAGATGGCCCTAGGACCGTGCAAGAGGCTTCCCAAAAAACCCGAGAGAGCTCCAAGGAAGCATCCAGCAAGGTCCGAAGAGGCACAAAGCAACGATTCCCCAACGATGTCTGTAGGATTTGCGCACTCTCGCCTTTTCAGCCTTCCGTCTGCTCAAGACGAACCAAGAGGCCTCCGCGATGGCCCCACGACGGCCCAGGGGGTCGTCAAGGTAGCTCAAGAGGCCTCCAAGACGGCTTCGAGACAACCCAAGAGGGCCCCTGGAGAGCCCAGTACGGACCCAAAAAGGCCCCAAGCTGGCCCGGAAGGGCCTACGGAAGGACCCAAGACGGCCGTAGAGGACCCCGGGACGGCCCAAGACGGCCCCACGACGGCGCCAAAATTCCCTCCAGACGGTCGTGAAAGCCCCAAGAGAAACACAAGACGGCCCAAGTGTGCCTCAAGAGGGCCAAAGAGGGCTCCAAGGGACCCCCAAGTCTGCCCCTCAGGAGCCCAGGAAAATCAAAGACGAACCGAACGAGGTCCGTGTTACCCTCTTGGGCCGTCTTTCTACCCTTTTGGGCCGTCTCGGGGCTCTTGGGGCCTTCGTGACCGTCTGGGGGGTAGTCGGGCGCCGCCGTGAGGCCATCTTGGGCCGTCCAGGGGTCCTCTTCGGCCGGAGGAGGAGGAGGAGGAGGAGGAGGAGGAGTCTTGGGTCCCGGAGGCTCTTTAGTGTCAGCTTTGGGTCCCCTTGGGTCCGGCGTGGGCCCTCCTTGGGCCCTCGCATCGACGATGCATCGGCGATCCGGTTCGATGTGGGGCCCAATTGTTTCGGCGCCGACGTCGCTGAGGCATCGCCGACGTCGCCAGTGCATCGCCGATGCATCGACGATGCATCGCCGATGCATTACCGACGGATCGGCATTGAACGAGGCCTCTAGAAGAGGCAAGCGGGAATACATACATATGTCCCAGGAGCTGCTGCAGGACAAGGCTGGTGCAATGGAGCGTCTCTTCGAGTTTGTCGGCCAGGAGCACTTCGCCACGCAGCGACAGCAAAGCACAGCGTCCGTGCTGGCGATACGGGACCTGAAAACAAAGTGTGAGGACGCCAAGAATGGCAACGAGTCGAAAAAGGCGGCGGGGTTGTCAAAGCAATTCTGCAACCTGACCCTGGGCGACGAATTTGCAAAAGGCCAGTTTGCGAAGTGGCGCCACGGCACGCCGCCTATGCCCACTTGCGACGTGATCCTCGTCGAGAACGTGACGTGGGATGTTATGCAGCGCTTCGGTTACATGCCGAGCATCGTGTCGGTGACGCAGGACCCCGCAGCCTACTCGAAGAGTGAGCTGGAGACGTTTGAGAAGTTGAACCGGGAGGGGATCGAAAAGATGAATGCTGACCTGGAGGAGGAAGACCCCGAAGACGCAAACCGCCGGAGAGCGTCGGCGTCTGTGCTCGCCTTACCGCCAGAGCTTATCCTGAAGCAGGTGAAGCGGAGGATCGAAGGAAAAGCAACGGAATAATTATAAACGTTGGACGGTCCGCGTGGACCGTCCAACGTGCTTGTTTCACGGTCGATGAAAAGCCAATTGTGTTAAGTTGGATATGTTTTCGTTCCCCTACGAGCCTGCATTCATTCGCAGGTTCATAGCGAACAGAAATGTGATATGAACCTGCTTGCATGCAGGTTCGTATTGTTTTCTTTTCGCCGTCCTCATCCTCGCCGTCACCACAGCCATCGTCGTCATTCATCGTTAGCGTCATCACCAGCATCGCTGTCATCATGGTCATCCTCATCCTCGTCCTCACTGTCATGATTAGCTTTGTCTCATCATCGTCATCATCGCCATCATCTTCGTTTGTGTCCAAGCCATTGCGGCTTCATCGTCATCATGAGCGCCCCCATCGTCAGCCTGCCTGTCTCCCCATCGCGATTGCGTATCCAGCTGCCTGTGACAAGTCCCACCACCGAATCAGCCAGCATCATCGGTGGCAGCTGCTCGAATTGATAAGGGCGATGCTGACGATGAAAATGCTGCTGTTGTTGATGATGATGGCGATGGCGATGCCGTTCATGACGATGAGGAGGATGCTGATGCTGATGACAGTGACGACGACGACGATGGCCACTATGATGATTTCGATGATCATGATGACGACCACGGTGCTGATGATGATGACGATGTCGTCGAGGATGATGTTGTTGATGATGATGATGCTGGTAATGATGATGATGATGCTTATGATGATGATGATGATGATGATGTTGATGTTGATGATGATGATGATGCTGCTGATGATGATGATGGTAATAGCGGTAATGGTGATGATGGTGATGATGGTGATAGCGATTATGAGAGGCTGATGCTGGGGACGGAGGAGGATGCGGATTCTGATGATGAGGAGGATTGTGGGGCACGCGGCGGGTGAGCAACATGGCAGCGATGATGGTGGTGTTGGTGATGCTGTTGGTGAGTATGTTGATGTTTGTGATGTTGATGGTGGTGTTGTTGGTGGTGGTGATGATCGTAGTGATGATGATCATGAGCAGGACGAGGATGGCGATGGTGGTGATGGTGATGATGAATGATGCTGGTGACGATGATGATAATGCGGGTAGGGTGATGATAATGATGTTGATGATGCGGTTGATGATGATGATGATGATGATGATGATGATGATGCTGATGATCATGATGATGATGATGATGACGATGGGAGGATGAAGAGGAGGAGGAGGAGGAGGACGCCGACGTGGACGACGATGACGAGGAAACACGTCACATATGACATCTTTCGTCTTCATAGCCGCTGGCGCCACATGTTCCATATTTGGTCCGTGTTGGTTTTCTGGAGCTCCTGATGTGATGGGGCAGACGTCGGTGTCCATTGGGGCCCTCCTGGGCCGTCTGAATGTCCTCTTGGGCCGTCTCGGTGCACTCTTGGGGCCTTTGTCGCCGTCTGGGGGGTATTCGGGCGCCGTCGTGGGGCCGTCTTGGGCCCTCAGGCCCTCTTGGGTCCGTCTGGAGGCCGTTCACGGCCAGCTTGGATCCCTCTTTGGTCCGTCATGGGCTCTCCAGGGACCCTCTTGGGCTGGCTTGAGGCCGTCTTGGAGGCCTCTTGAGCCTTTGAAGCCCCCTTGGGCCGTCATGTGGCCATCTTGAAAGCCTCTTTGGCCGTCTTGCGCAGACGGAAGGTCGAACCAACAAGAGTGCGGACATCCGTCAAACATCACAGGGAACTCGGGTGACGTTGGCCTCTTCGGACCTTGCTGGGGGCTTCCTTGGAGCCCTCTTGTGTCTTCTTGGGAGCCTCTTGGGTGGTCTTGGGGCCATCTTGGGCAGTGTTGAGGCCACCTTCGGCCGTCTTGGAGAGCTATCGGTCAAGTTGGCATCATCATCATCTTCACCATCATCGTCACCATCATCATCACCATCGTCAGCAGCAGCAACATCAACATCAGCATCAACGCCAATATCATCATCACCACCGCCATCATCATCGTAATCATCAACAAGATTAGCATCAATCGAAACATCTGCATCATCACTATTAGCATCAGCATCATCATCAGCAGCATCATCATCGGTATCGGTCGTCATCTTCATCATTATCGTTATCATGTTCATCACCATCATCATCATCATCATCGTCATCACCAACATCATCACCATCATCGTCGCCATCGTCATTATCCGCATCAGAACGCAGGCACGCGAAGCACAACTTTGGCGCAACTGGCCAGCACATCTCTGTCACACACACACACACACCCATCGCCCTTAGGAATCCAGCTGCGTGCGGCACCTCCTGTCACTCCAGCATTATCGGTTGCAGCTGCTCGCATCGATGAGGATGATATTGCTGATGACGGTTACGACGATGATGACCATGGTGATGGTGATGGTGATGACGACGGCAATGACAGTGATGACAATGACGGTGCCGATGACGACGGCGATGAACATGCTGACGGTGATGGCGGTGATATTGATGATGGTGATGGTGTCGAGGGTGAGGATGTTGATAATGATGATGGTGAAGATGATGATGCTGGTTGTGGTGAGAGGATGTTGGTGGGGATGCGGGGTGGTACAACTTCTGAGAGTATGGATTGTGGATGATGGCAGAGGAACTGGTGAGAGTGATGTCGATGCGGATGATGGTGACAATGCTGGTGATGGTGATGGTGATGGTGATTGTGGAGGTGATGATGGTGATGATGATTATGAGGGCGATGATGACGAGGAGCATCGTGATGAGAAGGAAGATGAGGAGGAGAAACACGACGACAAAGAGGAAACATGCCACGTGCGACACCTTCCTTCTTCATGCCCGCAGGGGCCACATGGACCACATTTGGTCCGTGTTGTGGTTCTCCTGAGTTCCTGAGGGGATCCTGATTGCACGATTCTCCGCACGCATGCTGTCGCAAAAAGATGGCAGGGATTCTTCAAACGAAGACGGGATTCCTGCCAACCTGGGGCAAGGGGCGGGGGAGCCGGGACATGCGGCATTCGCCAGGGACTGAATGTCTCGCGCGTGGATCGCCGCTCTGGCGCGGGAAACGAAGGCTTTGGGGAGGAGGCGTGGCCGTGGCAGCGGTGAACGGGAGTTCTGCGCGCGGGACCGTCGGGCCAGGAGTGCGGGGAGAGGATTGGCACAGCTGGTACACCGGCAGGAAGTGGCACAGCTGGCCAGGCTGGCGCGCCGAGCAGACACCTCAGGCACAGCAGCAGTGAGGTACGATCCGCCACCGTCCCCCCCTGGCACGCTGGGGCATGCTAGAATGCCAGGTGCTTTCTGGCAGGGTTTCTGTATTCTTCCAGGGGGACGCCCACCCCTCCTCCTCCTCCTCCTCCTCCTGCTCCGCCCCCTCCTCCTCCTCCCTCCCTCCCTCCCCTCCCCATCCCCTCCCCTTCTCCTCCTTTCCTCTTCCCTCTTCCCGAGGTTCCCTGGTTTGCCTCGCACCTCCCCAGCGCTTTGCAAGGCGTCCACCATGCCCAGGACGGCTCTCGAGAAGACCGAGGCGGTCGACAAAGGTCGACGTTGATGATGATGATGATGGTGATCATGTTGTTGATGATGATGATGTTGATGATGAGACTGGTGATGTTGAGAAGGATGAGGTTGATGATGATGCTGGTGCTCATAGTGATGATGCTGCTGGCAATGATAATGTTGCGCCTGATGGATCGATCGGTTGTGCCAGAGTTGTGCCACTCGTGCCTTTTTGTGCCATGGTTGACATGGGCATGATGGTGATGATGACGATGATGATGGTGACGATGATCATGGTGGTGGTGGTTAGGATGACGATGCTATTGTTGGTGAGGGGGGTGCTGCTGCTCATGGTGGTGATGATGCGAAGGATGCTGACGATAATGGTAATGGATAGTATTTTGATGCTGATGATGGGATTGGCGGTGATGTTGGTGATGATGGTGATGACGATGCGGATGTTGATGAAGATGTTGATGATGTTGATGATGGTGATGACGATGATGACGATGGTTGTGATGTGGATGCCGATGAGTTTGATCATGATGATGTTTATTATTATGTTTATTCGTACCATTATGATTCGTATCATCGTTATGATTCGGGTCACTCTTATTGCGATAGCGATGGCGAGGATGATGACGATGATGATGATGATGCCGATGATGACGATATTGGCGTTGCTGATGCTGCTGCTGATGAGGATGAATTTGATGATGAGGATGCATGATGAGGATGTTGTTGCGGACGCCAGTTGACCCCAGAGCGCTCTTTGACTGCCTAATATGACATCACAACAGCCCAATATTGCGTCAGGACCGCCCAAGGGACAGCCCACGAGAGCTTCAAGGGAGCCTCCAGCAACGCCCGCAGGGGCAACAATTGGTGATGTCCCATCGACTTCTTAAAGCTTTCCGCATTCGTTTTGGTCGACGTTCCATCGGCTCAAGATGCCCCAAGAGGTTTCTCAGATGTCCCCACGGTGGCCCAATGGGGGCCTGAAGATAGCTCAAAAAGGTGTCCTGGGCGGCTTCAAGACAGCGCAAGAGGGCCCCAAGCTGGCAATAAAGGGCCTCCAGAAGGAACCAAGACGGCCAACGAGGACCCCATTGACGGCCCAAGGCGGCCCCAACGGAGCAACAATGAAGAACAGGGGCAGGAAGAGGAGGAGGAGGAAGGGAAGAGGAAACGGAGGAGGAGAAGGAGGAGGAGGAGCATGACGGGAGGAGGAGCAGGGGGAGGAGGAGGAGGGGGATGAGGAGGAGGGAAGGGAAGGAGGAGAAGACGGGTACAGCTCTGGTAGAATCTCGATGTGAATGGGTACACCTCTGCGTTCCTTGTAGGAATGAGTACACCTCTGGTGCATCCCTTTTCTAGCGAACGGGTCATCTGCGGTCGGATCTCTAAGGGATGGTTGCACCTCTCGTCGGATTCCTGTGGGGACAGGTACGCCTCTGGTGCGACCCACCCATGGGAATAGGGATCGATACA